TTCGTCCTACACGACGCTCTTCCGATCTACAGTGTAGGACGAAATGGAGCCCGACGCGGGTGCGGGTCCGGGCCCCGCAGGCGCTCCGAGCGTGCGGCCGCTGGGCTGCCAGCTCAGTAGAGCGCGGGCGAGAGGGGACCCGGGTGCGGGCGGCTAAAATGAGTGAAAGGAGAAGATCTGCAGTCGCCCTGAGCTCCAGAGCACATGCCTTCTCCGTTGAAGCCTTGATCGGCTCAAATAAAAAGCGGAAGCTGCGAGACTGGGAGGAGAAAGGGCTGGACCTGTCCATGGAGGCGCTGAGTCCCGCAGGCCCACTCGGAGACACAGACGACCCGGCGACCCACGGCCTGGAGCCCCACCCGGGTGAGTGTGTGAGCTCGGACAAGGGGAGGAGGGTGGAGAAGGAATACCAAATGATATGCCCGCGTGTGGAGAGAGGCCCGGCCGGCTGCCTCCCTGCCTCCCTCCAACGTGGGTTTCTTTTTCTTGGCATAAATAACTTGAGCCTCCCTAAATTCGCCGGAACCAATTTGGGGGGCTGGCCCGAGCCTTGTATTCTAATAGCCAATTTCAAGCAGGCCTTCTCGCATTCATTCCCTTCTCTTGTAGCAGAGAGAGCAAGCAGCATTTTGAGGCGCCCACTCTAAAGGGCTAAGGTTCCCTGGGTTCAGAAGAGCGCAGTCAAAGACACTGGAGAAAGCGCCCAGTTGATTTGCGACTTGCTTCTGAGAGCTCCCGAGTGCTGGCCTGTGAAGCCCTGACTGCGGTCGTGGGAAAAGCTCCGTTTTTCTCATTTAGTTTCTCTCCCAACTAAGATTTAGATGGTGGAGAATATTTTATTTCTGCCTCACTGGAGACATATTAGACACTATATCCTGAAACTTAGGTCTTTATCCAGGGCCCTCATTTCTGTATTTGGGTGGGTAAACGTTTCAACTAATTTGTCTTGGATCTATCCATACCAGACAATACAATATACACATAACAGTTAAAACTCAAGGCAGATGTCAATGTGTGTATTTTAACAAACCCTAGCAGGGGGAAAACAGCCTCACATTTTCTATTAAGTGCCAAGATTTCAACAGTGCAAACCGGCCTGGGGGGAACAGCTGTTGTCATAATCCTGTATGTACGCACACGCACACAACAGTCACAACTTGGTTTAGCGGCTTGAGAGCAAATAATATTTTCAGTTCTGACTTCTAAACCCGTGCTGGGGGTGTCCCTGTACCAGCTAAAATCCAGGAGTAGCAGACCCAGGTCCTGTGGCTTGAGGGAGGGAGGGTAGAGTGGGGCAACCACCCACACAGGGATGGGAGAAGCCAGTAGGCTGGAGAGCTTGGAGATCCTGGCCTAAAAGCTGGCCAAAGCCGAAGAGGGACAGCTGTCGCTTACATTTTCTCTGACAGTTCAGTTTCCACGCTCCCGAGGCTAATAATAACGCGATTAGCCAGAGACCCACGGAGGCAGAGCTTTAGAAATTCTTCGTGTTCTTGCAGCCTGTTACGGAATTTCGCTTTAGTGCTGGGGAATTATTTTTATTAGTCGATGAAAAGAAAATTAAAAGGAGATTTATTCTGTCCATTCACGACTTTCTCTCTTTGGGAGAGAGGACAGGTCCACTCGGACCTCTGCATGGGCAATATAGGATGGAACACATGGCTAACGTGCGACCCTTCTTTCGCGAGAGCCCGTTTCCTCTCCGAATTTATCTGTTGTGAGAATTTCACTGAGGCATCGGTACAGTTAGTGGAATGTGTTGCAGGCCTTCTGACAACTTTCGATTTGGGAGTCACTTTTATTTTATTTCCCTAACAGTGGAGAAGGGAGAAATTATTCTACTTAGCAAGACTGATGTCTTGTCAAAGGAGCTTTTCTCTGGGGAAAATCTAGGTTGCTGAGAGTGTGTCTAGGGTCTTATGTTCAAAAGAGCCAACATGTGGGGTCAAAAATATGGACACAGTTTCACAACTTTCCCCTTCTGCTATCCTTTCCAGCTCGGAAGTGAGGGGAGCAAGGAGAGGGGATCTGGAAAAGAGACTGTACCAGACACAAACACATGAGTGTGGGGAGCCAGTCTCTAGAATTTTGTTTAGTAGTCCATAGTCCCGGCCTGGCAAAGGTGCATTATAGAGCGAACCTTAGCAACACTGTTTTTCTGTCCCGTTATTTGATAACTTGTTTGAAAAAGGCAAAGGGTACATTGGAGTTAGAAAACAGGGAAATGTTTCAGGAGCAGAATCCAAAACCGAGAGCATTCGGTAACCCAGCGTGGCCTTGGGAAGACGTTGGAGCTCTGGCAATGGCTTAAAGGCTGTCTTCTTCTCTAGACTTAGAGTGAGAAATCACCCTTCAGGATAAAGGTCCCCTTGATGTGGAGAAGTGCTGAGCCCTGGTGTCATAGCTGCCCACTCTGGACCCAATTGTAGACACCGTGAGCAGAAATTGGAGGCCTTGTAGGTTTTTTCTCCTCTAGTATAGCACCCTGACCCCTCTAAAGGCCACGGTTAGAGACATGTATAGAGGAATTGCTTAGGCGACTGACCTACCCAGTTCAGAACAGTGTCTTTCTCCTACTCGGTTTCATAATTTGTCTTTTCTCGATTAGGGTGGGAGAGGTTGCTGTGTTGGTTGCTAGTCCTAGGCAAAGGGAGAAAATAAATACAAAATAAAACCAAAACTGCCTCCGGGCCTAGGGCCTGATTAAATACTCATTGGGCCAAAGAAGCCAGTTTCGTTGTTCTCACCGTCTTCTCTTTAATCGATTCAACTATTTTCGATCAGCCCTACCCTACCTGAAACCATCAACTTGAACTGGTAAAGTTAAACTGTAAAGCAAACTTTAATTCCGAAAGTTGCCGGCCGTTTTGCTTTTTCCACAACTGGAGTTTCTTTCCGGGTCTGGACTAAGTTGGCTTTAGTTCACGCCTGAGCACCCCAAGCCTGAGGCGCCAACCTGTAGCAGCTGACGACCAGCCAGTCAAGGCCTTCTCTCTGCAGGCAACTCACTGGTCAGAGGACGCAGTATTTATTTCAAAAGCTTCCACCAAAGCCTCATAGTCTTCCAAATCTCTAGGCCTGCGGGGCTTCGGTTCAGATTCCTGTCTTAGTCTCCGGTTGGCACTCTCTCCCGCACTCCCTGTCTTTTGGAGAAGACGCTAGGGCGTAGGATGTAGAGACCACCGGCAAGAGGGAGTCTCAAGGCCCTGGTCTCTGGCTAAGCTCAACAGAGGAAACTTTCACCCAGGATCGGCTGAACAGCTGCTGTGGCTGCGGCCTTGAAAATGTTCTTTCGAGCACTCGGCGGCGCCCTCGGTGCTTCGACCCCTCCGACGCTCAACTGGTTCTTCCCCACCCCCCTACGTCTGGCTTAGACATTTCCCGCCCGAATCTTCGGCAGAGTGCGGCCAAGGCCCGGTCTCCTGCGGAGCGAAATAATTCAAACCTTCTGGGAAGGAATTTCCCCCCTTTCCAGTCTGCAGGCCGAAGGCCTTGCGGCCAGCCCGGGTTCTACGGGCCTCGGGAGGTGGCATTCCTTGCGGGTGGGCAGGTACAGGCAGGTACAGGCGGATAGACACCCCGCACGCTCGTGGATAAGCAGAATTTCTTAACATTTTCGTTTGCACCCACACGCGCAAACCCTGGTGAAATGAGACCGGGGAAAAGCCCAAGCAGAAACCTCCCCTGTCCTAGAGCAAGCACTTCGTTCCTAGTTTCCTCCGAGCTAGCGCTGAGACTAACTGGTCACATTCCTTAATCTGCCAGTGTATTGTTTGCTCTGAGCAAAACGGGGATTTCAATCCTGACGTTACCCACCACATCCCCAATAGGGAAATGGGGTGAAAGGGAGGAAGTGACTCTGCACTGACGTTTAAGAAACGGATACAGAGGGATGAGTTGGATGTCAGCGCAAAGAATATTAATGTCTAGCATCAGCCAAGACCCAAGATGGGTTCAGATGCGCGGGGTAAGGTGTGCGGAGCCCTACGCAGCTGTTGAGGGTCTGCCTGGGGTGGAGGCCTGCCCACAGGACTGTAACTTCTCCGTGCTGCTCTAAGTGCGCTGCTCCTGACACACAAGCGGGCATCCAGGGTGCGGCCGGCACCAGACAAGGAATTAAGAGGGCCTTGGAAGTTTGCCGTTCATACGGCCTTCCTCAGAGGCTACCCCCTTTGGTAAGTGACCTTTCGTGAAGAAGCAAAGGAGGAGGTAAGAAGAGAATTTGTCATTGATTGGAGATTGTTCACTGGAGAATGAAGGCCAAGAGTGCGTTTCCGAAAGCGGGACAGACACTGACTACAGTCGGTCTGTGGATGCGCGGGGCTTGGAGAGCGTGTCTCTTCATTCGCTCCTATGCAATGGGAATTGGTTTTGCAGACGCTACGTGAAATCCCAGCGGTGGGAGAAGCCATGGGGGTGGCGGGTGGGAGGAAAGTAATCCTAACTCAATCGGTCTCAAAGAAATAACAACAGTAAACAGCTAGACTGCCGCCGAGAGGCCAGGGAATGGGGAAATTTAGATGGCCAGAGTTTGTTGTGACTGGCGGTCCAGTGAGGCAGTAGTCTACTAACTAGGCTCAGTACTGCACAGCACATTCACTAAGCCGCCAGGGGGTTTGGAGGGCTCGTTCAAACACCTTTAGCCCACAGTCCGCAGGGCACCTCAGACTCCCCCCCACCCCCAACGTCCGCCAGTCCCGCGTCCAGTACAAACCTAATGACAGACAAAGGCTTCCTATGCAAATCCGTGCACAACCTAAGGGCTTTGAAACTCTGAATTCTATTTCACCCGGCTTCTCCATCGCCGGGTTTCTTACATTTCTCGTTGAACAAGGCTTTGGAGTTTACAGCTAGCCATTTTGGGTTTACTGATTTTGTAGATGAAATTCCCATAAAGAAAAGTTCATAGAGTGACGTTAATGTAGGGAGGAGGAAAGAAATTTCTTGGATTGGAATTCAGGCAGAAATTAAACCGATATACACCCCATGACGTTTTTCTTACACCCCATGCATCCTCGTATCAATAAGCCCAAAAGCCATAAAATTTTAATTATGAAAGAAAATTGTTAGTGTAAACTATCTTTAAAACATACGGTCTATGTGGAGGGAGTGAACAGTGGTCTAAAACACTTAGTTTGAGGGTCAACCCAAGAAAACTCAGAATATTGGAGAGGTGTCCTTCCTTTTTCTCCATACAGTTTCTTTGCATAGGGCCACAAACCTAACGGAAATTCTTCATCTTTAACCACACCTGTCGAACTAGACAAATGCAGAGAGAAGGACAAAACAGATGCGGCCCGGTGCAGAAGACCTAAACTGCTGTTTGGTCAAGCCTACCCGATGGCATTCATTGCCTTCGCTGA